AATATTTAAGAATTTGCCTTAATAAGGCACAAAATATGGAGTCTGTGTAGTAGTTGTTCCCATGTTGGTCGCCTGCCAGCCCTGGTGCCATAGATAACCACAGAGGCTGTTCTCTGTGTCCACGGTGGGCTGCTTGGCACATCCCTGCAAAGTCTGCTAGATGTGTCGCTTACCTGATAGCCTGATGCAGCCAGAGGTAGGAGCAGTGTTCCTAGGCGCAGCACTGAGGTGTCTGAGCTGTCAGCAGCACGCAGGAGCTGTGGCCATGAGAGTCCACTCTGCTGGTGGGCAGCATGTGGGACACAGTAGAGACCCAGCTCTGCTGGCTCCCCTGCAACCAACCCTTGTTCCCTCAGGTTCGCAGGAGCCTTCACTCTGCGGCAGCGGATGCTCAACTTTGTTCAGAACATCCAGTACTACATGATGTTTGAAGTGATGGAGCCAACCTGGCACATCCTTGAGAAAAACCTCAAGTCCGTGAGTTTCAGCTCCTGGATCCTGGTGCTGGAAAGGCTCTCCTAGCCCGGGGTGTTGCACAGCAGCATCTTGGGAGCCACATGCTGGGGCTGCTGTGAGCATGTCCTGTTGGAGGGAGGAAGCGGAGAGCAGGCAGCAGCATCTCCAACACAATGACGCGAGGGAGATAGGAGGGGGCTGTGGGACAGGTACTTCCCTATAGATCACAGGCCAGTGTTGTATTTAGCAGTGTTTCTGAGGGTCAGGCTGGGTGCTACTGTGGCAGTGCTGAGCCTCAGCCCTTCACAGGCCTCCAACATCGACGATGTCCTTGGCCACCACACGAGCTTCTTGGACACCTGCCTGAAGGACTGCATGCTGACTAATCCTGAGCTGCTGAAGGTCTTTTCCAAGCTCATGTCTGTGTGCGTCATGTTCACCAACTGCATGCAGGTGAGGCGGGGTGGATGGTTTGGGCCATTGTGGCATGCAGCCCTGCCCGTGCCATCTCCAGTGCTGGCAGAGCCCCTGGGTCTTCCCGACCAGTACACTGCTTCCTGAACATGGGCTTCCTTGGGGTCCTGCCCTGGTCCTTTTTGAATCCCTTTGTGTTTTTTATTAAACCTTAAATTTTTTGATGTGCCTAAGTTTTATTGAGGAACTTGTCGTAAGTACTTACCCCAAAACAGTACAGAAAACAAGTGTCAGTGGGCAGAAGGGGCAGCCTGGGGGCTGAAGACTGGGGAGCATGAGCGTGCTCTGCAGACAGCACGTGGGGAGGGGTCAAGATCTGGGAGGTGGGAGACATACATGGTGGCAGGTTACAGGAGAATACATGTGGAGCCTATTCCTTAGATACTTAGGAGCCATATTGAGTTCCAGAGTAGGGAAACTCATGTACAGGTTGTTTTCAGAAAATCAGCTGCTGATCCCCAGGAGGTTGTGGCTTAGCTGATGCCCTCTTACCTGCACCCTTCCTTCCTACAGGCACCCGAGTGTCCGTACCTTCAGAATGGGCACAGCCCTCAGCTCCTGCAGAAACATTGGAGCTAACAAGCATTTTCTCTTGACCCTGCTCTAGAAATTTACACAGAGCATGAAACTGGATAGTGAGCTGGGCCGGCGGGCACTGGAACAGGGCACCATGCTGGGGCCACCCACAGAGTCTGAGCAGGCTGAGGAGCACCCCCGGAAGGAGACTGCCAGAAAAGTGCGTAGCCTGAGGGCTTTTCCAGACTCAAGGAGTCACCTACCCATTCTTGTGGTTGTCACCCCTGTGATGAGAAGACTCAGATGAGTTCCACAGGGCCATAGGAGTTCCCATCCAGCCTTCTGGGCTCAAGGGTGTGGCCACAGTCACCTGTAGAACAACTGCATGGATGTGATGAGGGCCTGACACTGGTGGGAACGGTAGGTGGCCTGTCAGGTACCCAAGAGCCATGAGATGCCAACAAGCCAGGTGTCCTTTGAGGCGAGAGGTGGGAGCAGGGCACTCACACTGCAGCTGGCAGAGAGGAGACAGAGGGCAGCATGTGGGGCCTGAGGCCAGGGAGGGTGGGAGACAGTTTGTCTTGTTTCTTGAGAAGTGACCAGGAGAAAGTGGCTGAGCTTGGAAGTCTAGAGTGAAAATGTAGGTTGTGCCACCTTTGGCTCTTAATTGTGTGAGGCCTACAAAAGCCCCAGCCCGCCGGGTGTTTGTTGTCTTACTGTGTGCCACGGCCTCAGGAATTTTTTGACATCCTAATTTTCTGTATTTCGTTGTATGAAAATGTTCCAGTACTCTTTTTTTTTTTTTTTTTTTTTAATTTAAAAAGGAGCAGGGAAGGAGAAAGAAGCAAATGCCCATGGGCTCAGTGCAGAGGCTGACTGCCCATTGGGCCTCAGGCACTCACTACCCTGGGCTATGTTTCTAGTGCCTGGCTGAGCATGTGGATGCCCCTCATCTGGTCTCTGGCTTTGAGGCCACCATCAACAGCTTTGATAAGAACTTCTCCGCCCACCTACTAGACCTGCTGGCCCGTCTGAGTGTCTACAGCACTAGCGACTGTGAGCATGGCATGGCCAGTGTCATTTCCAGGTCTGTTGCCACCTGCCAATGCCCCTTCCCCTGGACCCTCGCTCCCCCTCCCTTGGCAGGATGGTGGAAGAAAAGGATCTAGCTAGGGCTCCTTGAGCTGGAGGAAGTGGGAGGCCGTGAGAAAGGGTTCGCAGCTTTTGCCAGGAGAGGGTGATGTCCCACATGCCCTTGGGAATGTGCCCGCGTGGACAGTGGGACCACCTGGTGCACTGTGCCATTCAGCCATGTCCCAGTTCCTGAGTGGGGGCTTCTGAGGTGGCCCAGCACTGAGACTTGCTGCCAAGTTCCCGTCCCTGGGGTCCCCTCAGGCTCCTGTGGCCAGGTGATGTGTCAGAGGCCAGGAGAGGAGTCTATGTGCTCCAGTGGCCATACCCTCCAGGAGAAGGCTGCCGAGATGCCCGTCAGCGCTGCTGTCTGCCTTTTGGTTCCTGTGTGTTTCAAGATCCGTTCTCAGTTTTGCATAAAGAGCTGAGGCCTGTGCTGGGGGGCTTGCACAGGCAGGTAGAGCACACGCCCCCTTGTCTTCAGCCAGGAGAGGGCCTTGAGTTGTGTCTAATTTGACCCCTACCTGTGTGGAGAAATGGTGCCACCAGCACTGTGTCCTTACAGGTCCCTACAGCCATGCATCTCAGTGGGGCTTTGCCCACCTCTCCATGAACCCTGGCTCTCTTTCCCTCCTCACAGGCTGGACTTCAACGGCTTCTACACAGAGCGCCTAGAGCGCCTATCTGCAGAGAGGAGCCAGAAGGCAGCCCCTCAAGTGCCCGTCCTGCGGGGACCCCCAGCACAAACACCCAGGGTGGCGGTCGCCGCACAGTGAGCCCCTGGCTGCAGCTCAGAGGAAGGGCTGGGCCAGGTGTGCCATAGTGAAGATGGGCTTGGGTCTGAGCACCTCCTTCCTGGAGCACGTGTTGTCCTACTTAGACACGTGTGTGCTGTGTGTCATTGCTGTAGAGTGCTGTCTGTATTGCTGTCTAGCTCAGGGCTCCTCGTTCTCCAGGCGCTGGGTGTCTTGATGTGCAAGCTGCCCAGAGCAGGGTGAGGTCTCCTGGACTTACCTGATTTATCTTTTAAAAATCAGGCTTCACCTTTTTTGGTGTTTTTTGTCTCAAATAAAGACAAAGTAAAAACAAGGCATTTGATTATAAGATGTGGTATAGGTGCCTGGCGTGGTGGTGCACGCATGTAATCCCAGCAGTTCGGGAGGTTGAGGCAGGAGGATTGCAAGATCAAAGCCAGCCTCAGCAATGGTAAGATGCTAAGCAACTCAGTAAGACCCTGTCTCTAAATAAAATACAAAATAGGGCTGGGGAAGTGGCTCAGTGGTTGAGTGCCCTTGAGTTCAATCCCTGCTATCCAAAAAAAAAACCATGGTGTAGGGGATGAGAGGTGCCTGGGGACTAGGGCTGCAGGTCCTCAGCACTGCTTGCTTCAGACACTAGGGTGCAGCAGTGGACCTTGCTGTGAAGCCACGCCTCTGGTGCCCAGGCAGCTGCCTCCTCCCTGAGGTGCACCTCCTGAGGAGTGGTGCTGAGACCCTTCTCCTGTCCCCTGAGGGCTGGGTTCCCTCTGTTCATCAGATGCTGGCCTTGCTCACTAAATGACTGACGTTCTGCAGTGGGCAGCCCAGCTGTGGCACTGCTTGGCCAGGGTAGCGTGCTCTGGTCATGCCCAGGTCAAGCTCCCCTTCTGCTGAATTTCATGTATATCATTTTAAAAATCCAGTTCTACACATCTGCCTGGTGGGCAGTGAGGAAGGGCCCAGGAGGAGTGGTAACCAGAGGCCTGTTTCTGGAGGCTTGGAGCCTCACAAAGGAGGTTTCCTGAGACAGGTTCCAGGGTAGCAGCTGTGGTGGCTGCCTTGCAGAGGGGCATCTGCAGAGCCAGGGCTGCTTGGCTTCAGCCATCAACTGCTGCTTCCCATCTGCAGCATATGGAGGCACAACTAAGAACACAACGTCCACATGCCACCCCTTTGCCACAGAGAAGTGCCAGGCGTGAGCAGAGGGACTTGTTGGCCTGTGTCCTGGCCCTTCCTGCTATTCCTCCAGGGTTTGCAGGGGGAGGGGGAAGCTCAGGGCTGTGGACCCTGGGCTCCCAGATCCTCCTGCTAGATCGGGTTGAACTGGAATTGGGTCTGTCCTGTGGGATGAGGTTCTGTGGGTGTTGTTGGGCTGCCCTAGTTGGCCCCGATTGTTGAGTGTTCATTACTCTTGTCATCTGCAGTGCTGCTTGGTTAGCTGAGGCTGCCCTGGCAGTGGTGTCTTGTCTCTGCTCTAATGTGACTGCAGATTCGACACCTTGAACTTTTGGTGTCACGTGACTTGCCGTCAAGGAACATGGGGAAGAAGTGAAACTGGGTGTGGGTTTTTTTTTTTTTTTTTTTAATGTGGAACACAGTACCTCATGCCTGCTAGGCACGCATTCTAGCATTGAGCCCCATTCCCAGCTTTGGGATGGGCGTGCATAAGTCATTTGTGAGCTCAGGCGGAAGCCAGCCTTACCCAGCAGTCCCTCCCCTGCTCACAGTGGCCTGTGGACTCCTCTAGCACTGGCATCTGGGACTGATGCAGACAGCAGATGGCTTCCATCTGTGCTACCACTGCCTAGCTTCTGACTCTGCCATCATGCTGGGGCAAGGAGGTGACAGGTTCCCTCCTGCCCCAGCTCAGACCCTTCAGCTCTGTCCCCAGGAAAACATCCAAGGCGCCAACTTCTTGCCGCTGCCCCTTTAAACTTAGCCTGAAATCTGTCACCTTTCCGTCTCCAGCTCCATGTCTCCCTGTCTGGCCCCTGATCCTCCGCTGCATCACAAGGGAGGCTGAGCTGCTGGGCTCTGCTGAGGACCCTTGGGTTGCCCCTGGCTGGAGTCAGTCTGGGAAGGCTGTGAGGTTGGCCTGCACCGGCACCCCAAAGCCTGGCCGAAAGTGGGGGATGTTGCTACAAAGGAGGACCCACATGGATCAGGCTCTGATTCTGGGGCCACTCCTGCCCTACAGGGCAGGAAGGGCAGAAACCAGGGCTGCACGGGGAGCTTGGTCCAAAAGGACCCCATAGCTGGGAATGGACCCCAGCCTAGGCAGCCTCCACACCTACATGATCTGTGCTGGGACCCGCAGCTGTCTGGCTCCTCCCCAGTGAGGTCTCAGGGGCCTGGAGTAGGGCATAGGGCTGGTCCTGTTTACCCTGCATGGGGTTGCTTTTCCCCTGGAAGTCAGAGGATTCACACACACAAGTCACTCACTGCCCCTCAGTTGCCTCCTTGTAGCTGGACCCCACACACAGCTCAGGCAGGCCTGGGAGAGGCGGGGCCTGGTTCTCCCTAGGTACACGTGCGTTACTAGGAGTTGTAGGGAGTGGCAAGGTTCTATTCACACCCATGCCCTTGTTAATTTAGTCGACAGTTATGGGGGGACCAGCAAGAAATGAAGGGGTACCAGGAAGCCACCGGGAAGTGGACTCAGACTAGCCCTGCTGCCCTGGAGGCCCTCCCCAGGTGCATGTGCCCCGCCCCTCTGCCACGCGATTGGCCAGGCTGGTCCCCAGGCGGGTGCATAGGCTGGAGCCCGCAGAGCTCTCAGTTTAGTTCTGCAAAGACCCTCCAGACCACAAGGAGACCCGGGACAGCACCATGGGCGGCCTCTGGCTCTGGCTGCTCTGTGCACTGTGGCCCCAGGGTGAGTGGGAAGAGGATGGTTCCCAGGAGTCCTCTCAGGACGTGGGGCAGGGTGGCCTCCTGATCGATGGCCAGGGCTCCAACTGGGTCACTTGGCCGTCCTCAGGCTGGTTCCTGGGGGAATGGGTTACATGGGTGGTCACTCAGAGAGGCCAGGGTACAGCAGAGGCCAGAGGGAGGAACTTTGAGAAGTGAACGGTAAGAGAAGCTGGCGCCGGGGGCGTTTCCCTGTCAGGATCGTTGAGACCACAGGGGTGAGGGTTGCAGGGCGGCTCCAGCTGCCGGAGGAGCCAGGTTCCTGGGTTCCACTGTGGGGCTGCGGGGTGGCTGCCCTGGGAGCTCCCTGATGAGGTATGGTTTCAGTCTGGGACTCCTAGAGGGCTGCTTCTGTTACCTCTCCTGGAGGTTTGTGGGGTGTTCAGGGACAGAAGTCTGAGGTAGGTGGTCTCTGTTACCAGAGAGGGCTGGGTCCTGGGTCTGCAGCTGGATATCAAGGAGCTTCCAGGACATCAGGAAGCAAGCAGCCTGGGGTGGGGGTGGCTGCTGTTGGCTGCTATGTGCCGTTAGATGGGATCCTGAGAATGTAGGAGACAAAGAGACTTGTCCCAGGCTGGGCTTCCAGGGTCTCTGGCACACATGGTGTGCCACTCAATCTGCCTCCCCACCACTCCTCGGTCCAGAGGTCTTTAGGCACAAAGCCCTCACCTGGGCTGTGGGGTAAGACCTTCTAGTCACTGGTCCCTGGGCCATTTGGTGATAGCCTCAGGGAGGTGCAGGCTTACTTAGGCAGGAGGCCTTTATGTCTGCTAACCACTCTTACCCATAGCGATTGCACTCAGCCCATCCTTGCCCCCCGTGGAGCAGTATGAGGTGGTGTGGCCCAAACGTCTGCCTGGACCCCGCACCCGCCGAGCTCTGCCCTCCCACAGGGTGAGTCTGATGTCCCCACTAGGCAGCCCCTCAGAGCTTTTCCTGTGGGGTGCTGTGTGGGTATCTGGGTACTGCAATGCACAGCCCCAGGGCTCACAGGCAGACCCTGAGGCTGGCCTCTGCTTCCGGCTTGACCTGGGTCCCTCCCTCCTGTGCTCACCTTCTTCCTTCCTCCTGCCCCACCCTGTGGCAGAGCCTGGGGCCTGCAGGTGGGCATCAGGCTTATTGCCTCACCTCCAGGAGCCCTGCCAGACTGGGGGGAGGGTCCTCTGGCCCCAGGAAAAGGGCAGGGGCGCTCGTGCTGGTCCACACCACACCCCAGTTTTACTTGGCAGGGGCTGATCAGCCAAATTCCTCTCCAGAAGAGAAGTGGGATGATGGCTCACCACAGGGTTTTGTGTGTGTCTGACACACCTTCCGGGGCTCTGGGCTGGGCCGGGATTTCCCAGGGCTGGGAACTGAGAAGGGCTCCTGGCCTTCCAGGAGGATTCCTGAAGCCCAGTGGGTGTGCGGACCCACCTATGGACTCTGGGTATCCGTGAGGTTTGTGCTTGGGTGTGTGTGGATGTGTTTCTAGTGAGGGGCCTGTCCTACCCTGATCTTGCCTCTGTGCCCCAGGAACCTGCCATGGACCCATAGACCTGTCTGCTGCCCTGGGCTCCCACCTGCCCAGAGGCAGATGTGCATTGTCCAGAGGGCCACAGGCTTAGTATGTTAAGTGTGGGGCTGGGGTGTGTAGGGAGCAAGGTCACAGGGTGCTGGGAGGAGGCTGGCTGGGGTGGCACTGGAGGGGCCTATGCACCCTACCCCTTCCCCCACTTTCTCTGCTGTCCTGGCAGTAAGGGCTGCCCAGCAGGACACCCATCCCGCTGCTTCCTCCAGGGAAAGGTGGCATTGTCCTTACCATCTGGGGGCTGGTGGAGAAACAGGCCAGGAGGCATGAAGAGCCTTATGTCTTTTTTGGCTCCACCTTCCCCTCCACCTTCTGGTCTGTCTGAGCCTGAAGGGCCCAAGAGTCACCTGGGGGCTCTTGGGCTGCCTGGAGTGCAGGCCCAAGGCTGCAGGCTACTCAACCCTGACCCCCATTCAGGGCCTGTACCCTGAGAGTGTGAGCTATGTCCTTGGGGCCGGAGGACACACCTTCACCCTGCACCTGCGGATAAACAGGTAAGCAGGGGGCTGGCCCTCAGGTTGGTGCCCTGGCCAGCAGCAGTGCAGGCTTCAGCACCTGCATCCCCCATGCTGGAGCTCAGGGAACTCCTGCGGTTCTTTTCCAGGGACCTGCTGGGCGTGGGCTACACAGAGACTTATTCAGCTGCCAATGGCTCTGAGGTGACAGAGCAGTGGCATGGGCAGGTAGGCATGGGGCTGCCTTCCTGGGGCCAGCAGGCCATGGGAGCCAGACCTGTGACCTCTCACACTTCTACAGGACCACTGCCTCTACCAGGGTCACGTGGAGGGTCACCAGAGCTCTGCTGCTAGCCTCAGTACGTGTGATGGCCTCAGGTGTGTACTCAGACCCTGGCAGGATGTTCCACTCTACAGACGGGTAAACTAAGGCCAAGAAAGAAGGGGCTTGGGATTAGACTTAGAGAAACGCTTCCTTCTTGCACGTGTTTGAAACGTGCAAAGGCACTTGTTGGACTTCTGTGAGGAGTTTCCAGCCCTGCCCAGCCTGTGGGGTAGGCCCACCCAGCTTGCTCTCCTGCTTACTGGGCCCAGGTGTCACCCATGGGGAGTTTGTGTTACTGGTTGGGGTGCAGATCAGAGCCCCTGGTCTTCCCAGATGGGCAGGTGGGGATGGGCTGGAGATGCCCACTTTTTCACTTGGCTCCCCTTCTCAGGGGCTTCTTCCGGGTGGGCTCTGCCATCCATGTGATCGAGCCTCTAGATGGAGGTGGTGAGGAGGGGCAGCATGCAGTGTACCAGGCCAGGCACCTGCAGCAGAAGGCTGGGACTTGTGGGGTCAGCGATGCCAGCCTGGACAACCTTCTGGGGCCTCGGGTCTCAGCAGCCTTCAGGCCTCAGCCCCGGGTAAGCAACATCTTGCCCCACCTGGCTGGTCCTGCCCTGGTCCCTTTGCTTGGGCCTGGGTATTTCTGTCTGCAGCCCCAGAGCCATCCCCAAGCCCTGGAAGGTGGGTCTGGCTCAGACCCATAGCTGTGGAGCGGACTCTTTTCTGCTTGGAGCTGCCTGATGGTCCTCCCAACACTGGGCAGTGGTGGTCTCTGGGGCAGACTGTGCTGGAAAGATTGATGATTCTCCCCAGAACTGGCCCCTGTCCCGAGATACCCGCTATGTGGAGCTGTATGTGGTCACAGACAGCAAGGAGGTGAGGGCATGGGGTCAAGTGGGCTGGGCAGGTTGGGACATGGTGTTGGCCCAGCCTGAGGGTCCTGTGTCCCCAGTTCCAGCAGCTGGGGAGCAGAGAGGCCGTGCGCAGGCGTGTGCTGGAGGTGGTGAACCATGTGGACAAGGTGGGCTGCGGTCTTTGTAGGGCCCTGTGAGGGTTTCCAGCTCCTGCAGGGTTTTCAGGACCCCTCAGCCACACAGGTCCATGGGGACCCAGGTAGCTGGGGGAAGCGGGAGTGGCCACAGTGCGTGGGGCAGGAAAGACAACCAAGAGAAGATCTAACTCAGGGCTCTGTGTGTTGAGCTTGGGACCTGGCCTGCATCTGTGCCCTGTCCCCCAGAAGCAGATGGGGGGCACCCCCTGCCTCCTACCTTACTGACCTTCCACCAACCAGGCCTGACCCAAGGATTTCTGTCTTCTGCAGTTTTATCAGGAGCTCAATTTCCGTGTGGTATTGGTGGGCCTGGAGATCTGGAGCAGGGACAAGGTCCCCATCAGCCCCCATGCCAACATCACCCTGGAGAACTTCCTTTCCTGGCGGGCACAGGACCTGATGGGGAGACACCCCCATGACAATGTGCAGCTCATCACGTGAGAGGGCCTGCACCCTAACCCACCATGGCAGGGCCCTGGCTAGCCCAGGCCTCTAGGGCAAACTCTCCAGGCAGAGCCATGAGGCCTGGGGAGGGGCTAGGGGAGCCACTTTCAGGCCATCAATGTCACGTGTGTTTCTAGGGGGGTCGACTTTACCGGGACCACTGTGGGACTGGCTCAGGTGTCTGCCCTGTGCTCTCGGGCCTCCGGGGCTGTGAATCAGGTAAAGGGAGCCCCTGTCCAGGTTTACTGGAACTGGCCTGTGGGTTGGCAGCCAGCCCAGAGGCTGAGCTGGATACATGGAGGCAGTCACGCAGGTCCCTGGAGCACACCTGAGAGGCCACCTCCCTGGGGACGGGTTCAACACCTGTTTTTATGTTTTAAGGGGTGGTTAGCAGGAAGCGGCACCAAGCCCCAGGTGCTGAAGGTGAGGGAGCACCTCACCTTCTGGGTGGATGGGTAAGGTGCTGCCCCAGTGAGTTCAGCCCTCTGCACAGGACCACAGCCAGAACCCTATCGGCGTGGCATCCACCATGGCCCACGAACTGGGCCACAACCTGGGCATGAACCATGACGAGAATGTCCAGGGATGCTACTGCCCCGTGCCGCGGGAGGGTGGTGGCTGCATCATGGCGGCCAGCATTGGGTAAGCCTTGTGGGACACAGTGGGTGGGAAGGGGCAGTGTGACAATGGCCCCTGACAGCCATACCCCCTGCTCGCAGCTCCAAGTTCCCCAGGACGTTCAGCAGGTGCAGCAGGACTGACCTAGAGATGTTCCTGGAGAAACCCCAGACGGGCTGCCTGGCCAATGCCCCTGACCCTGACCGGCTGGTGGGAGGCCCTGTGTGTGGGAACATGTTTGTGGAGCGTGGGGAGCAGTGTGACTGTGGCACTCCCCAGGTATGTCCTGCCCCAACCCCACCCTCTGCTCCTCAGCATCAGGGATGTGGCCTCTGTCCTTGTGCTGAGATGACCACCCAAGCCAGGTGCCCTGTGCACCACAACACACATGGCTTTTGGGTGTCCCAAACAATCTGTAAGGGAGTCCAAAGGAGAGTGGTCACTGGTTGCCCCTGGTGGTTGGTGGGGTCCATCCACCCTGAAGTTGGCTCTTGCCCAGGGTGCAGCTGCTCATGCCCCTGTCTCCCAGGACTGTCAGAACCGCTGCTGCAATGCCACAACATGCCAGCTGGCTGAGGGGGCCAAGTGTGCCCATGGCACCTGCTGCCACGAGTGCAGGGTGAGCCCAGGGCAGCGGGTAGGAGGGCAGCCACACCAATAGCAGCAACTCCTGGGCCTGTTTCACATTGAACCTCTCTACGGGCCAGGTGAAGCCAGCTGGTGAGCCATGCCGCCCCCAGAGGGACCAGTGTGACCTGGAGGAGTTCTGCGATGGCCGGAGTCCAGCGTGCCCAGAGGATGTCTTCCAGGAGAACGGCACACCCTGTCCTGGGGGCTACTGCTTTAATGGGCACTGCCCCACACTAGCCCAGCGGTGCCAGGAACTGTGGGGTCCAGGTAAGGCCTGTGAGCACAGGATACAGGCCAGCCTCCGGGGGTGGCTGTGGTCCTTGGTCAGGCTAATCTGCTCTAGCTCCTAGGTGCACAGGTTGCTGCAGACACCTGCTTCTCCTTCAGCATCTCTCCAGGCTGCAGAGGCAGGATCACCCCCAGCATGGGCAGGTGAGCTGGACTGCAGAGGCCCAGGATACAGGATGTCCCCAGAGAGGAGTCTAGCTTTGTAGGGCAGGTGGCCCTCCAGGGGTTCACCCTGCCTTCCAGGATCCCAGCTTGACCTCAGCATCATGGTAGAAGGGAGGAAGGAGGGTAGGGAGGGAAGGAGGGTTTTGCCTATCTCCTGGAGTGCAGGGCCGACCATGCCCTGCCCTCTCTCTACAGGGCCGACAGATGTGGGGTCCTATACTGTGCAGGGGGCCGGCAGCCCCCAGAGCGCAGCTCCTGTACACTCAGTTCCTACTCGGGCAATTGCCAAGCTCTGCACGTGGACAGCGAGGCCTCTGCCTATGAGCCTGTGCCCCAGGGCACCAGGTGTGATAAGGGGAAGGTGAGCTGAGTAGCCCAAATGCCCCATGCAGGCATGTGGGCCGCCCGGACACGAGTCCCACACTGGCCCCTCTGCAGATGGGTTTTCACACTCAGAGGTCTGTTGGTAGAGTGTATGTGGGGGGTTCTCTGTACACTTTCAGGTGAGACTGAGGTGGGTGAGGGAGGCGGAGACACCTGTTCCCAGTTCATATTCTGGAACCCATAGCATTGCCGAGAACCCAGGACTCCAGAGGTTCTGGGCCTCCAGAGGCCTCCAGGGGTGGTCAGCTGACCTAGCCCTTTGGTTTTGAGAATAGGGCCAGGGCAGGGGTCCAGACAAGCTGCTTAGGAGGCCCCCTCTGCCTTCCAGATTTGCTGGGAAGGGCGCTGCCAAGACCTCCAGGTCTACAGATCCAAGAACTGCTCCGCCCAGTGCCACAACCATGGGGTGCGTGTGGCCTCAAGGGACAGCTGCCCCCTGCCTGGTGCCCCAGAAGCTGCTGCCATTGCCTGCATCTGACAGAGCCACTGGTGGTGGCAGCATTGGATGTAGGAATGGGGTCTCAGCCTTGCCCAGTGTGTCCATTAATGGGAGATCTCAGCAGGCCCCTTCTTGGGGCTGAGGCTGGAAGGGGTGACCTGGAATCAGGCCTGTGGTCATGCCCCCCTACAAACCCAGGGTTGTGACCTGGGCAGGGGTGCATGCAAGGCTCAGGGCCCTTATGCTGCAGGAACAGCCTGCTGCACTATGGGCTACATTCCCTAAGGCCCTTTGTCCCTGCAGGTGTGCAACCACAAGAGGGAGTGTCACTGCCACGTGGGCTGGGCACCGCCCCACTGTGCGGAGCTACTGACAGACATGCAGGCAGGTAGGGCCTTCTGGGCCAGGTCTGAATTCAAGGCTGCACCTGGTCCTTGCGAGGTGATATTTAGGGGATGGTTTTGCAATCAACAGCCAGTCCTATGGCAGCCAGAAGGGAGCCTATGTCCCACCTCCTAGATGATTGAAGGTAGTGTCCAGCTCAGAGTAAAATATGCCATCCTCTGCCCAGGGCTCCGGCCCCTCTTCAGCCTGGCTGGGAACCTAGGGTCAGTCAGCCCCACAGTGTCTTCTTCCCCAGTGGCCACTGAGCATGTAGCTGTCCACAGCACCCTGACTTCAAGGGCCTGGCTAGGCTGCACCCATAGCACTGTGGACTCAGAACCTGCCCCCCACCTGCCATGCCTACTGACCCTTTGCTGGGAGCTGGGAGCCCTGGAGCCCAGGGCATGGCCATGGCCGGCTGGGGAGGCTGAGGGCCCTCCCACCCAGGCTTGAAGCTGTCCAGGCTGCTATGAGGCCTGTGTTCCCCAGCACCTGGGAGTCTCCTGGTCAGCGTGCTGGTGCCCCTAGTGCTCCTGATGGCCATGCTGGCCACCCTGGCAGGCGTCATCGTACACCGCAAGGTCTGGAGCCGTGTGCCCAGGAGGTGAGAACTCGCTGGTTGCGACAGATCTGTGTGTGGAACATATACTTCCGGGCCTAGAGCTATTGGGAAAGGGCCTCCACTACTGTTTGAGGAAGAAGCCACTTCTCACACAGGTTGGGGGTGCTGTGGATTGGGCTCCCGGGTGGCTGTAGCAGGGCTTGAGCCCAGGAGGTGGCTGGGACCCACCCACCTCAGGACCCTGCTGGGGCCCTTCCTTTCGGTGGCTCAGACAAGGGTGGTCTGGGCTAGAGGTGGGGTATGGTAAGTCCAGAGATGGGGCCCCCACCCCCAAACCAGGACCATGAGCACCCCTTTAGGATCCTGCTGTGCCCTGGGCCAGTACCTTGACTCCAAGCCAGCTGCAGCAGGATAGATTTGCCTGGGACCTCTGAGCACCTCTCCAGTGTGACTGGGCCCCAGGGATTGCCCTTTCAGGGACATGCACTTGGTCTCCTTGTGTCTTATGGCTATGACTATGTGCATTGCAGCCTGCATGGGGTCTGCCAGAGCAGAGGGACCCCAGAAAAACTAGGCTGGGGGGCACAGCCAGGAGACCTGAGCCCTGGTGGGGACACTGACTGCTATTTCCTCTCTTCCTCTCCAGGAGTGTAGCACCCAAGACCACCATGGGGCTCTCCAACCCCCTGTTCCAGGAGGCAGGCAGCAGTGGGCCAACCAAGGGCAGGGCTCCAGGGCCCCCAAAGCTGGTGTCTACCACGCACCCCAGCCAGCCCGTCAGAGCCACTGTGGCCCCAAAGAGGCTGCCCCCTGCAGTAAGCACCATCCCCTGAGAGGCACCTGGACCCCTAGGACTCTCTCTGTCCCAGTGTATGACCCACTGGGGACATCATGTTAATTAACTCATATGTCCCTGTGTTGGCCTAGGGCCAAGAGACGCTGCTGTGGTCACCTGTGGTGCAGGGTCCTAGGGTCTGGGAGTTCAGGGTGACCTTTTGGAGATCTGTATTTGGAGTTTGACCTTGAACTTGTGGCTCTGGGGGTTCTCAGCCTTCATTCTGAGAAGATGACACCCCTGCTGCCTCCAGCTCTGGAATGTGGCCACATGGCTGAGGGATAGGGATGGCCTTGTGTCCAGGCTCAGGACCTGCTGGTTCAGGAGCTGGGGCAGATTTGTCACGTACGGAGAGGCTTTGCTTGGAGGGGCTTGATGGGTACTAGGTGGGCACTCAGCCTTGCCCTCTGGGACCAGGCTCACATTCCTGTCCCCTGCAGCCTCCAGTCATGTCCAGTCCACCCTTCCCAGTCCCTATCTACCCACAGAAGGCACCAGACCAGGTGAGTGGCCTTGATTGGGATGACCAGGTGTTCTGAAAGTATCTGAGCTGTCCCAGGAAGCAGGGGGCCTCGTGGCTGAATGGGGGCACTGAGGCACAGGGAAGGCAGGTGAGCCTGGCCTAAGATGACATTAAAATGATTCAGTGAAGACATGGGGGCCAGGGGGGCACAGATCAGTCCTCTAGACTTGAGATAGGACTGGTATGTGGGGTCCTGACTCCTATCTCCCCATCAGCTCAGACCTGCTCCACCCACCAAGCCCCTCCCAAAGCTGAAGCCCAAGCAGGTAAGAAGCCTCCGCCTGTGGGGCCCTCGCCAGCCCTCATGATACTTCCCTTGGGATATGGCTTTGGGGTTTTGAAAAGGTCTCTCACAGTGTGACTCACTGGAGCCTTGCAAGTTGAGGTTAATTCCTGGACTCCCCTTTGCCCCTGCAGTGTCACAGGCCTTCCCCTAGCATGGGCTGCCTGCCCCAATGGGTACCCCTGAAGTCCCTCTCCCACCCCCATGTCGCTCCCATTCCTAGAACCTGTGGGAACAGGTAGGCCCTTGAGCACTACCTCAGCCTCAGCCCTGGATGTCACTCTGTGACCATGGACCGTTCCCCTCCCGCTGGGCAAACTCAAGCTGCAGGACTGACCCAGCTTTCTCTCCTGGTGTCTGGCATGGCCCCATCTGTACAGGTTGGCTGTCCACCAAGTGTTGCTGGATGCCCTCCCAGGCAGGCCTCTGTCTACCTCTAGGTGGTCAAAGGTGGGGATCATGGTGGGCAGCTGAGGGCTGGGAAGAACCACAAAGTGGCAGGGTCCTAGGAAGTCTCCCCAAAGGTGGCTTGTGTGGGGCCTGAAGGTAAACACCCTTCCCTGCCTTAGGGAATTATTTAATTTTAATTGCCAACAAATTTTAGATTTATAGAAAATTGCAGAGATGGCAGAGTCCTCGTGTTCCCTCCATAGCCCTCCGGGTTAGCATGGACACAACCTGAGCTGCTCCTGCCTTCATGAGCAGGCAGTGCTTGGCCCACATGGTGCTCCTGGGGCCCAAGTGGCTCTTGGTCCTCACCTTGCACTTTGCAAATGTTGGCTCAGTTTTGTCCCTTGATTTGGGTTTGTCTACTCATCGTGAGTTGTCAGAGATGATGGGTTTGGGGCAGGAATAGTGAGGGAAGTGTCCTTTCTAGGATGTTGCCCAACATTATCCTGGGCCTGGTCCCTCATATCCTGTCACAGGGATGTGACACATGGCTTGGTTGTGTCTGCAGTTTCTCCCTCTGAGCTATGTGGTTAATGAACATAGAAGAGAGGCCATTGAGGATTCATGATTCTCTCTTCAAACTGGCCCACAAGTTACTTATCACCCATAAGTAACTTGACCCCCAACAACTGTTACCATGGTGTTTGCTTACTAGTGATTTGCTCTTTCCTTTTTAACTTTTTGTTTTGAACTAATTTTAGATTTACATATTGCAAAAATAGTCCCAGGAGCCAGGCTCTGAGGCACAAGCCTATAATCCCAGCACTCAGGAGGCTGAAGCAAGAGAATCTCGAGGCCGAGGCCAGCCTGGGCAACTTAGTGACAGCCTGTCTCAAAATAAAATAAAAAGGTCTGGGAGTGTAGCTCAGTGACAGAGTGACCCTGGGTTCAATTCCCAGTACTGGGGGGAAAAAAAGACCTAGAAAGGGTCTTAATGGGAAGAACAGGGACAGAAATGGGCAGAGATATTTCTAGTCAAGGACAAGGAAAAGCCAGGCAAGAAGGAAGGCCCGGGTGGTCTCCGGTCACACTGTGCCTGGTCTGAGGAAGGGAAATGCTCCACAGTGCAGTGCCTTCCCATGTTGCTGAGACCTACAGTGCTCACCCCAAGGTACCCTTTTCACAGTCCCCCTGCCCTGGGAAAGGATACATGCTTTAGTAGTTAATTATTGGTTTTTGAGCTTCCAAAGACCCACATTCTGGCAATTATAGAACCTTTCAGGGATCATGAGAGGGTGCAGGTGATGCTGCAGTGGCCTGGGTAGTTTGCCAGGACAGGGAGCTCCTCTGCACTGGGGCTTTAGCTGTCAGGTGGCGCGGCCATAGAGGGCATTTCCACAAAGAGCTTAGCAGACAGAAGCCTGCAGCCCAGCAGGAGCAGAGCAGAGGGCCATGGGGGAGTTAAGTATGGGCCAAGGCCTGGCCCACTTAAGTGGCCTCTTCATCAGCTGTTTCTGCTCCCTCCCAGCCTGTCAAGCCAACCTCTGCACCCCCATTGCCACCTGTCAAGCCCAGTGCTGGAGAGACCACACCTGGAATGACTCAGGTGAGCCTCCCCTGCACACAGTTTGGAGTCTACCTGTGCCAGATGTAGAGAGCTGCCCCACTCCTGACTGGCACTGCCCTGCAGTGTATATGTGTGGCATGGGGAGGGGATTGATTTCTTTAAATTATTGTCTGACAAACTTTGGGGATTATCTGGGAGAAAAAAAGAAAAATTCATTAACTTTGTTTTAATAATCTGTCAGAGTCTGTCAGAGGACTTTTCAGTGACTGTCACTTCAACTGGCTGTCAATTTTGCCTTCTATCCCTATTAGAATAAGCAAATCTACCCTCCATATAAAGTATTAGCCATTAATACTGTGGCTACCACAGCTGTTGTCATTGTATGGACAGCACAGACTTACTGTTGGGTGAACTAAGAATATACATTTTAAGAAATATGAAAGGTGGGGCTGGGGTTGTAGCTAAGTGGAGGAGTGCTTGCCTAGCATGTGTGAGGCACTGGGTTCGATTCTCAGCACCACATAAAAATAAACAAATAAAATAAAGCTATTGTGTCCACCTACAACTACAAAAAAGAAAGAAAGATGAAAAGAGCCTGGTGCAGTGGCGCACACCTGTAGTTCCAGGGGCTAGGGAGGCTGAAGCAGGAGGATTGCAAGTTCAAAGCCGGCTTCAGCAACTTAGTGAGACTCTGTCTCAAAAAATAAAGAAAGGGCTAGGGATGTTGCTAAGTGGTTAGGGGTGGGGGATGAACTGTGAAAGGGAATATCCTCTTGTGCCCTTCGTAGCACATGATTTTTAACAGCAACCTATCTTTCTCCTGTAAGGGGGTCAAAGGCCCCAAAGTCCCGCTGAAGCCCCGCATCCGAAGGTGACAAGGGCGCCGGCCCAGTGTCCCGCCACTGCACAAGTCTGGGGAGGCACTTCGGAACCAAGCGCTGGCATCCCGGGCTCACTACCTGGGCCTCCACGGACCTGGCTGGACGCTCGGCTCCACTCAGGACTCTGGCCTGCTCGGCCTTGCTGCCAGGGGCCAGTGCTCGCCGGCTGGGCCCGCACAGCGGCGTGTGCAGGCGCTGGGGCGGGTGCACTCGGGCGGCCACTAGCGAGGGCGGCTAGGCGTTTCCCGGCGCTAGACTTCCTAACAATAAAGAGCTGTGTTTCCCCAGCAAACTGTCGCGCAAGTTCTGTGGGGCGGGAGGTCCTCAGTACACAGTCAACCTTCCTTTGGCCCGGGATTTAATCACAAGCCCTCGGTGGTCCGAAGAACTCCTCCCGGGCCCACCGAGCAGCCAGGGCCCGTCAGACCGGACCCGCCCCTTCCGTCGCCCCGCCCCGCCCCAGCCACCCTTAGACCCGCCCCTTCCGCTTCGTCTCCCGACAACAGCTCCACGCCAGTCTGCGCCCCGCCCCTTCTGGTCCGTCTCCCGGCAACAGCCCAAGCCTTCTGCCATGCCGGGCTCCAACAGGCGGTCTCCTGCGGCGCTAGGGCCGCTGCCGGACGCCCTCCGTGGCCTCTGTGCCTGGCTTGACCAGCTCCCGCTCAGCCGCCCCAAGCGCCACCTGACCCGGGACTTCAGCGACGGCGGTGCGGGCGGAGCCGCGGAGGCAGGGCGCGGTGGTAGACGAAGGTTCCCGAGGGGTGGGGACGCCTCTGCGTCCAGCTCGATGTTCCCTGGGGAAGGTGGGGTGGGGTGGGGCGGGGGCACAACGCAGGCCTCCATCTCTCCCTGGGTAAGCACTGGCTGAGCAACCCCAGTTCTCTTTGCACATGGTCCCTCCCAGATCCAAGTTCAGAAGCCCCAACCAAGTCTCCAGGACAAGCTGGTGCCTTTCCTGCATGCATCTCAGGAGGCCTTAGGAACAGTAGCAGCCAGGCCTGAGTTGGACATGCAGGCTTACCCTTCCTCCATCCCCTCAGTGCTGGTGGCCGAGATCGTGAAGCATTTTCACCCGCGCCTGGTAGACCTGCACAGCTACATCCCTGCCTGCAACACTGACCAGAAGCTAAGCAACTGGAGCCTTCTCAATAGGCAAGGGCTCCACAGGGTTTCCAAGGCTGGCCTGGGGAGCCAGCTCTTTTGGACCGAAAGGTGGTAGCCAACACACCAGAACCATTGATCCCATCCTGTGTGCACTGAGGGAGAAGGGGAAGGCTGGCAACAAGTTTCCAGCTGTGGGTGCCAGACCCTTTTCAGTGCCAGTTCTGTCCACAGATCCTCACCCTCAACCTAGGGCTCCAGGGCTCTCCCTGCCAGGACAGCCTGTCGGTGTGGGTCTGCTTCCCAAATCACTCATTAAGCCAAGGGAACCAGGCTGTGCTCCAGAGCTGCAGACTGGCATTGGACAGGTCCCTGCCTTCATGGAGCAGGGAGTCTCATGGTCAGCAGATGGATAACAAAATGTAATCAAAGTTTTGGGTGTGGTAAATGATGTGAAGACCAACGGCCAGGGTGGGGCAGACATGTTGCAGGTCGGGGAACCAGGGAAGGCTCTGAGGAGTAACAGTGTGTAGAGTGATGGGGGAGACGTGTGGATGTGCAGGAGGGAGTGGGGAGTCCTAAGGGTTGGCCCAGAGGTCTTGGAGGCCACATGAGGACCAAGCCTCCAGTTGAGGCAAGTTAGAGGCACTGCAGGGCTCAGGCCTGGGCACATTCTGATGGTGCATGCATGTCGAAGGGCTGGAGTGGAAAGGATCCTAGGGAAGATGAGGGCATTGCCCTGACCCAGAGGGGAAAGGGTGCCTGCCATTGGTTAGCCCTCTTATGTGAGAGGAACTCAGATTCCAGGTGTTTGGGAGGTAGGTCAGCAGGACTTCTCAGAGCAGAGAGCAGCATCAGTCAGGAAGATGGGTACTTGTGCACAGTCCTTGAAAAGCCTGGCCTGACAACCTGGCACATGAAGTGTTCTGTGGCCCCCTGATGGCGTATGGGCCACCCATCAACCGAGTGACCACTGGGCCTCTGGGGGTGCAGGCAAAAAGGGGCCTCACTCAGCCTCTCCCCTCCCAGGAAATCAGGCACTGTACTGTGGCTCAGTACCTGGCCCCTGGGGGGCATTGCTCTGAGGGTGCACCTTGCTGCTTTGCAGGAAAGTCTTTCGCAAGCTGTGCTTCTGTGTCTCTGAGGAGGACATCCGTAAGGTGGTAGCCAATGTACCTGGGGCAATCGAGCCCATCCTGTGTGCACTGAGGGAGAAAGTGGAAGCCAACCCTGCTCAGGCAGGCTCACCTGGCACAGCTCTTCATGTCTGCAAATTGGTACAGCCCAGGAACAGGCTGCATCTGTTCCCATTTGCATACAGTTAGATAATCTTCTATAAGAGATAAAGCCCACAAATAAATGGTGACAAAGCCCCCACTCCCTGTGGCCCTATGGTCCAACTGAGGCAAGCCTCACATGAGGCTGTTGTCCCCATCAGCTCCCTTCCCTGAGTGCTGCTATCCCTCACTCCCTGCCCAGCCTGACCCACCTGCCTCAGGGTGGTGAAAACACCCTGTCCCTTGGGACAACCCTACCCATACCAGCTCAGTTTCCCTGCCCCTTCCTGTCCAACAGTTTGCTCCCTAACCCCCACCCCAGAGTGGTGACTGGGAACACAGGCAAGCACATTCATCTTCTACATTTCACTTCCCAACCTGTAAAATCTGCAGGATCCAGGATTCTCCAGCATGGATGCTGTCCATTCACAGGCAGGTAGGATTCAAATCCCTGTTGCAGGCAAGTTTGACCTACCAGAGGCCCTCTTGTCCTCCTGTGAGGGGCATTACCACATTCCCAGACTGCCCTGTGGCACTTGCAGGCTCACACACCTGAAAAAAGAGGGCCCAACAGGCCCCTGAAAATAGTTTTACTTGCAGACACCTAAGCTGGGGCCCTGGCTCCATCAGCACCTGGAGAGCAGTCCCCTAAGGGGAGTCCACAGACCATTCATTGTGTCTCCAAATGGAACACACTTCAAAGTCACCCAAGGCTGTGCAAGCCCAGCATGATGGCATCTGAATCTGCCTAACCCGTGGTCTGAACACCCCTCCCACCCACACATACAGGTGCACACCCTTAGAGGCAGGGGACCTGAGCTCATGGTGTTTGTCTGTGACACAGGCCTGCTAAGCCCCTCAGCTCCCACCAGTATGAAGACCCTTCAGAAGCAGAGGGCCTTGGAGAAGAAGGGCAGCTGTGCTTGTGAATGGTAGGCCCTGTCTCTCAAGCCCTCTTCCAGGCCTTCCTCTCCCCTTACTTCACCAACTGGATTAAAGTGTGGTATCTGCCTTTCAGTCAGGACCCAGCTGAAGGGGCCTGGGAGCACCTGGCCAAGGTTCAGCAGTTGCTGGAGGACAAGGAGCAGGCAGTGGACATTCTGCAAGAGACAGTCCAGGTATGGCCCAGCTGGGCACTCCTTCCCAGACGTCCTGAGCTGCAGGATGGGGAATCAGAGGGACCTGCTGCCTTCACTGTTAGCAGCTTCAGTCCAATCCCCAGCTGAGTTCTTGCCACGCTGGCTCTGTCCCAGAGCAGGGTTTAGTAGTGGGTGGAGCAGACAGAACCTTGGCAGGAAGAGTCCACATTTAGTTTGATTATTTAGAAAACAGTGTATGGAATATTCCAGTCATACCCAGAAGCAGAGAAAAGAGTGTAAGTCCTTCCCACCACCAGGTATCTACTGCCAGCCTTACCACCTTATCAGTCATGAGCCCATGTGCTGGGGCCACAGGCCAGGCCCCAACAGAAGTGCTGGGCCCAGGTCAGGGAGCAGAAGATGCTCCCTTTCTGGGAAGTGAAGGGGGTGGGGTGCTGATTAGAGTCTCCTGCTTGCTCCATTCCAGCCTGGGTGGGACCTCTTCCTTCTCCCCATCTCCCAGGGGGCCAGGGTCTGGCAAGCATCTTCAGCCTGGCGCTCTGTGAGCACACAGGTAGGTGTTGCTCACCTGTTTATATTGTGCTTAGCTGGCTCTGTGGTGCTCACCTGACTCTTCAGGAACACACCTGCCCCTCTGCTGTCTCACAGGGGCCTCCAGGGTTCCTGTGCTCAGAAGGGCTCCTGCTACTCTTACCTCTCCCCAACCTTGGCAGCACCGGTGGCAGCCCAGGACCCATGACAGTGTAGGGGTGGGGCAGGCCTGCTGGATGGGCCTCACTGTTGCAAGGCATCAGAAATCGCAACAGCATCTCAGTTCCTGAGACCCAAATCTTGATGAGTAGTCTTCTTGAGAAAACAGGAAAGTGATATCATTGTGTGGCTTTGGATGTGCTGAACGCCCTCTTGTCATCAGAGGGCCAGCAGAGAGGAAGCTGTGGGGAGGAATGAAGGGCAGCTCGCAACCCTTGCTGTCCCCACTCTGGCTCTGGCTTGTGGGCTGACCCCGTGAATCATCAGTACTTCATTTTAGAGAACCCAGAGAGCAAACAGCTCAACCTGCCATCTAAGGGTTGACACATCGAGGGCCATTTGCATGTTACAAAGTGAGATACAAACCTTGGAGTCAGAGAGACCCCAGGAGTCATTGTGGGGCAGTTTATGTGGTGGTGGGTGGCAGCTGGAGTGTCGCCCTGGTCACTCTGCCCCTTGCAGCTTGCCACTGAGCAGGGGGCACTGGCAGGGTGGCCAGGGCGTGGGCCGTGTGGAGCAGCCACACCACCTGCAGGCTCAAGGAAGGTCCGTGTCTTGTTTTGAGTGACAGGAGGCCACCCTTGCCCACCTCCCCACCTCATGCAGCCTTTTCACGCTCCTGACCTTCACCTGGACACATGGTTTGGAGCAGACCAGCCTTTTCTGATCCAGATTTCCCCATTTCTCACCTGGGGCACATGACAAGGCCCATGCTGCTAGATGGGGAAGGTTTGGGATATGGTCATTCTTGAAGCAGGTGTGGAGGGCCACAGGCACCCCAGCCTGAGCCTTGCTGTGGCCACCATGTCTGAGGCAGATGTCTCCAGAGGGCCTTTCTGCACCTTCATTCAATTAATTCAAGGTTTTCTTGGGTTTCCAGCTTTTAGAAGTAAACACCAAATAAACCATCTAAGTGCTGTGTGTTCATTCGGTTAACTGTTAACTCAGCAAAGATGCCCCGAGCACCTGCCAGGCCCTGGGCCCTACCCCTGCCCACGCCCTTCCACCTGGAGCCGGGGGCAGGCTGGGGGGCAGGGGAGCTCCAGGAGTAAGCATAGGGAGGGGAAGAGGAAAGTCATCCCTTCCCAGAACCCCCACCCCAGGTTCCTCAGACTCATTTCCCATGGGGCCCACGTCCTTTCCTTCCCGGTGTCCCCACGAGAGGTCCTTTGCTCCTGCCTCTGCTGTGTGGCACTCCTCCCCAGAGGCAGAAAGCACACATGTGGCCTGGCTGTTTGGATGCACCTGATGTCCCTCAGACCTGCCTGGCTTCTTGAAGATTTTGCAGATGAAGGTGATAAAGCTGGAGCACCTGGTGCAGCTGAAGGACCTGCGGATCGCAGAGCTGACGCGACTGGGGACCGAGGAGTGCCGTGTGCCCCCGGGAGCCCCATCCTGAGCCAGCCAGACCCTGACCTTGAGGATGCAGAGCCTTGCTCCCACCAGTGGTTCTTCTGCGCGTCCCTGCACTGTCCAGCAGGCTCCGGGAGGGACGTCTGTATAAGGCACAGGTTTAGAAGCTAGAGTGGGGGTTGGGTTCCTGCTGGGGGTCACCTGGGGCCATACTGCCCCACAGATGGGTTTGGGACACAGCCAGTGGGATTCCCTCCAGCCCCACGTTTCATCACTGCATCTGTGAACACACGAGGTTGTGCTGTGTGCTCTGTCTGGGCCTTGGGGTTGTTGCCCAGGGGGTGGCAATCATGGAGTGAGCCACACCAGAGTCTGAGAGATTCCACAGACAGGGCCCCAGGAAGTCACCTCCATCTGTGCTGGACTGTCCTGTGGAGGGAGGGCATGAGGGCCCATGAGAGGCCCTGAGAAAGTGAGCTGCCCACCTCACCTCCTCTGCCTAGGGAGGCTTTGGGAGCCAGGGTGGGCTGTGGAACCTGGGCCCACTGGCCTCTGCAGGCTTCATTGATCCTTGACCTGCTGCCTCCTCACTTCTGGGGTAGCTTGTATCTCAGGTCAGGGACACTGTGTGACCGAGGTGCACCTGACCCTGGTCAGCTAGAGGCGCAGGGCTGCGACTGGCTGGCCTCTGGGTCTGCCCCCTCGCTGGAGCATTCACAGTGCAGGCAGGGCTGGGCTGACTGGAGCCCCACTGCCTCATCACACCTGCCCTCCCTCAGGGCCAGTTCCCTGTCCTCCTGGGAGAAGTGCCGACTCGGGTCAGGGTTTCAGAACCCATTTCCTCCCTGAGTCAGAGGCACATCCTGCTGCCCCTGCCCACCTGACCCTGAGTCACTTTACAGCCAGGAAGGCAGCTTCCTGATGACTGGCTCTGTCACCATCATCCTCGTCAGCAGCCTGGTGCCCAGAGCACTGCGTCTAGGAGAGCATCCCCAGCCCAGGTGGCCAGGGAGGGGGATAAGGAGGGGGACAGCTGTAGGTGGCTCAGCTGTAGGTGGCCCCACGGATTCCTGACGTCAGGAGTAGGGAAGTCTTTTCCTAAATCCCCAAGAGATGGGAGCTCCCAGGTCCCAGTGGCATAGCTGCATTGCACCTGGGGGCAGGGCAGGAAGTACGTGGACCGGGGCCAGGCATCCAAGTCAGCACAGGCCCTGCAGCTTCAGACCCCCTCCAGCTGGCCTGGCTGCTACTCTAGGCTGAGCCTGGGAATTCCAGGGGCCCCAGCACCTTCTCACTCCTTCCCTGGCCCCTCCAGGGCCCCTCGCTGCCCCCTGGGGCAGTGACAGTACAGGGCCAGCTGCCCTGCTCCAGGTGCCCTTGGCCTGACTGCACACATGCGTGTGCATGGCCAGACACATGGGCATCACACACAAACACGAATGCTCACACATGAGGCTGGTTGGCTTCTTGTTGAGGCTGAATGTTGGCCTGAAGGAAGGCAGAGGCTTTGTATGTGTGTGTGCGTGTGTGTGTGTGTTTGCAGGTAGCACTGTGGGTTCACGTACGTGACACTGTGCATGATACTCCATGGATGTGCGTGTGTGTGACTGACACCATGTGTGGTGCTGTCTGTGACCAGAGGTGTGTGATTTGATTCTGCATGTGTGGTGCTGTGTGCACGTACACACACAGGCACACAACTATGTTGCTGGCGCAGGTGGCCATGGCAGGGGCAGGGCCAGGTGGACCAAGGGGCTGTGTTTTCTGATGCTGTGAGGTTGTGCGAGGGTGCCCTGGGCTGTCTCCGTGGTCCACATCTGCCTGCTGGGCCCTGTGGGGCTGGGCCTTGGGTTGAACACAGGATGTAGCTCAGGAAATTGAAAACAAGGCCCAGGGTGACAGTGCCACTCTGGGAGGGACCCACTTCCCACTGGATCAGGTGCCATGCCAAGGACAAGAAGAGCCAAATAGGTGTGTCTTGGAAGCCTGGAGGCTGGCAGTTGTGCTCCATTCACCCGGAACACCCTGTTCAACTGAAGCTCGCCCACCCCAATCCAGGCCCCCAGGAGGTTCCCTACAGGGTCCAGGCAGAACCTCTGTGCAGGGCCCTGCAGCCAGGGTGGGACTGCATCCCACTGTCAGAGTTTAACCCTAACGCTGGCGTCTACTGGGGGGTGGAGCCTGGAGGGTGCCCGCCCCCAACAGTAACCTGGGCGGGGCATCTGCACAGTGTCTACTCTAATGAGGTGCTGAATCCTGGGCCACTCTGCCTGGAGAGCGCCCCTCCCAGACTCTGGTTGTGTGCCGGGCAGAGAGTCTTGCCCTGGACCAGCAAACTGAGAACCTGGCTCTGGGACCCCCTGTACTCACAGCTCCAGGCCTTTGTGTCTTGGGCAACCATGATGCCCCTTCCCAGCCCTACCCTGTTGCTCTCGGGAGGCCCAGCTCTGCTGCCCGTGTGCCAAGGGGGCTTCCCGTGGGACCTCAGCCTGGGGCTTAAGCATCAGGAAAGTAGGCCACTCACACCATGAGCCGCCCCGAAGCTCCTGCCCTGGCTGAGGGACACCTGGTCTCTGGGGCTGGGGGAGGTATGCCTGGCACAGGCTCACCAAGTAAAGGCTTCTGGACCCTGTCTGGGGAGGGCGGCCCCAGCACAACCCCTCTTGTTCCTGCTGGCCCGCTTCCACCCATGCACTGTGCCCCACACCCTGGGAGGTAGGGTCTGCCCCCACCTGGGACCCAAGCCTTCTGACACCAAGACGGCCTGACCCAGGGCTCTTGGGTCAAGTGCTTCAGGGTCCCCAGGAATGTTTGCTGTTGGGGTTAAAGGTTAAAGATTCTCCAGGGACAGCAGGATGGGAGGCAGCATGCAGGGGGTCGCTGGCACCTGACCTCCAACCAGCACTGAGGTGCATGCTTCACTACAGTGCACTGTGCTCGCTCACAGAAGCACTGGTCCTGGCCACAGTGCAGAGATGCGGCGACACTAGGGAGCAAGCAGCGGAGCATCATCCACCCAGACCACGCAGGTCACTTCCCACACGGGGAAAAGGTGGAAACGGGAATGCGCTGGATGCTCCTGCCCCAGGGCCAGGCCAGCAGGATCAGCTAGAAAGGAGGAGGGTGCCCCAGCCTCTCAGGCAGACTTTCCAGTGTGCTAGGTATTCCACAGCTGAGCAAAAGTGACGCAAACCTGTAATCACAGCGACTCAGGAAGTTGAAGCAGGAGAGTCACACGCTCGAGGCCAGCCTGGGCAACTTAGCGAGACCCTTTATCAAAAAAAAAAAAAAACGGGCTGCGTATATAGCTCAGGGGTAGTGCATCCCTGGGCTCAGCCCCCAGTACTGCAAAAGAATGATAAGTTTCAAGGGGAACTTCCGGGTACTCGAGGTGTGAACTGAGCTGCTACCATGCTGTCTGCAGAGGCCTGGGTGAGGGCTCCCCACCACTTCCTCATTTGCAAAATTGGGAAGTGTTGGAGCCCACCAGTGGCTCTGCTCCACCCCCTAGAGGTGGCCAGCTCACTGCCCCTGGCCCTCAGCCCTTGGCCAGGATGGCCCTAGGGCCAATCCAGTTTTCTTGTTCCTTCCGTGGCAACACTGGTCAGCAACATGGCAGCCCTGGACTTTAACGAGAGGGCCTGAATTTCTTCATTTTCCTTCCTTTTATGTCTTCCTCTTCTGATCCAAAAAGGACTTGAGAAGGCTCTTGCATGAGCCATATCAGTCAGAAATTAGCCAGGACTGCTGGGGAGGGCGCCTGGGTCACGGAACTCCTCTATGTAGGTAGGGAGAACACAATATTGGCATCCAATTGGCCCCTTGGCAGCCTGGGGCCTGCTCCCAGTATACCCCACTGAGGCCGGTGCCTGGATGGCCAGGGCCCGCGCAGGCTCCAGTGCTTCTGAAGATGGGAAGACATTTCAGAGCCCAACCGGAAACACCACATCTGACAGCTCTAGCCAGCAACTTTGGATGCTGCACCCCTGCCTGGCTGACGCCCTCATGGAGAGAGTGAGGAGGATAACAGGGTGTTCTGCCAGGACGTAGGAACCGCAGAATGACTGCTAAGTAAAGAGGAGATGCTGAAGGGGCTGGCAGCTCTGGCCAGGGAGCAGTGGCTGCAAAGGCCCTGGGGCCAGGCTGGGGCTGAGGTGCTGGAGTGGGGAATGCAGGCAGGTGGCTGGATTGAAGAGACTGGACACACACACTAGGTGCCACTGCTGGAGCCCATTCTTGCACTTTAGAGAAGCAGGTGGGGGGGGACCCAGGGTCAGGGCTGTCACGGGGTGTGGTCAGGAGGTGCTGGGGTCCATGCCATGAACTTCCTCAGCTGGGAGGCTCTCTGTACCCACTGCTCATAGCCTTCTGCACGGGTTAAGGTTCTCTAGTCATTTAAGAATGAATGTCAGGGGAAATTTGCTGACTCTCTGGGCTGCATGGAGGTGGTAGAGGTGATGTCTCTGGTGACCAGAGACTTATGCTGAGCAGGTGCTGTCATGAAACACTGCAGTGTCCACTCAGGTCCAGCCTGGGGCAGTGACTCAGCATACCAGTAACTGCCCAAAGGTGACAAGAGAAGGAGGACAGGGACATCACAGAAGTCCAGTGTGTGGTGGAAAGGGGTCTTCAGAGTGAAAGTGACTGCAAGTGTGCCTCAGGAGGCCTTGGGGGACCCTACTCTCAGACACCCTGGGTGAGGACCCCTGCTCAGATGTGTCTGGAAGACTGCATGCTCGGCCCATGGAGCTGTTCCCGGCTTGTCCTGTGTCTCAGCTGCCTCCAGGCCTGCCTGAGGTGGCATCTGTGGGTTAAAGTCACAGCAGCTGCCTGCAGACCCCAGCCCAAGTCAGTGGGACCTGCTAGGTGCCCCAGAGAACACTGGTGTTGCCATGAAGCGGGAGGTGGGTGACCTTCAGAAAACCCATCGTTGAGTCCTGAACCTACACAAGGCCAACAGCTAGCACTGACCTTGTGGCCAAACCCCTACTTGGTTCTCAACTGCGAGTCTCCGTGGTAACAAGGTACTGTCTTATGATTAGGAAGCAAGGGAAGTAGTGGTTCCTAAACAGGTCTGCGAGTGTCCTGCTGTTGTGTTTCGCGTATCTGAAGTCCATTTTCATAACTTGGAAAGGGACATACATACATGCTTAAAAAGAAAATATAAAAATTCCCTCAAGAGCCATCCCTGGGGCCAGGTCGCATGAACAATGACCTCTCAGTCTCAGCCCCTGGTGTAACAGTGACCTCACCCACAAAGATAGCGCCCAGTGGCAGGGAGATCCCAGACC